TCTAATTATATTAATTTAATATATAAATAAATATATATATAAGAATAATTATACCCTTTCAATTAAGATAGGTAATTCAGAGTAAGTATGATATTGTGCTGGTTTAGATAAGATTAATTCTAAATCAGAATCACGTGTTTCTCTTGTATTATTAGATTCTAGATAATCAGGTGTTACAGCTTCTTCACGAACTATGTTTTCACCATCAGATAATTGTACTAATACACTATATAATCCTAAAACTACAGAAATAACTGACATAACTGATCCTCATGAACTTACCATGTTTCAACCTAAATATGCATCAGGATACTCAGGAATACGACGTGGCATACCATTAAGACCTAAGAAGTGCATAGGTAAGAATACTAAGTTAACAGCAATAAATAATAATCAGAAATGTGCTTCACCTAATACTTTGTTGTAATTTAATCCAAACATAGCATATCCTCAATAATAATATCCAGCAATTAAACTAAATAAAGCTCCCATAGATAATACATAGTGGAAGTGACCTACTGTATAGTAAGTATCATGGAAAGCTACATCAATAGATGCATTAGATAACATAACTCCTGTTACATTATATATATTATTTATGATATATACCTATTTTATAATATATTTCATATATAATAATATATATTATTGGACTATTTCTTAACTATATATATATATAATAATTAGATATAGTTTTTCACATATAGTCTCTGAGATATTAAATTAATAAATATAATAAAATATCTACGAATAAACTTATAAATAAGTCTTTCTCGTATTTAGTGAAATTTAAAGAGATCTAACAGAGTTATAAACCTCCGACAGTGAATAAGAATAAGAAACCTAATGCAAATAACATAGGAACTGCTAATCTTAATTCACCACCATATAAAGTAGCTAATCAACTAAATATTTTAATACCTGTAGGTACAGCAATAACCATTGTAGCACTAGTAAAGTAAGCTCTACTATCAATATCTAATCCTACAACATACATGTGATGCAAAATAATCTACTATTGTATAACAACTAGTAGATATTATTTACCCCCTTATTTTGGTTGGGGGGTAATGTGTTAATAAATAATTCTTATATTTATCCATAAAATATTTTATGCTTCTTTCACAAGAAGGATCGGACTATATCTTTATCTTTTAATTTCAAATAATACTTATATATATATATCTCGTCCTACGTAATGCGTATAAAATAATAGATATATTTAATTTTTACCTGCTTTACCTGTTTTAGAGGTATTACATACATTTAAATTAATAAGTTTCTTTAATCTTTTTATTTCATTAAGTCCCTCATTTGTTAAATGTTCTTTATTTATAATTTTATTATATATAATCTTAAAATATTTATAAGATAAAGCTTTTTTAGTATATAAAGGATATTTATTAAAATATAATATAACTTTACTCATAGCTTTAAACCCTGTTAGAGTATATCTATATACTCCTTTAGTTTCAGATCTAAGAGTAATTTTACCTTGACCAAATAAGTCTTTTATTGTATTTAATACAACTTCATCTTTTTGATCTAAAATATATCTTAATTTAATAACTCAATTAAGTTTATATCTTTTATTACAGCTAATAGTAACATTATAACAACCTTCAGCATCAGTAAATCCTGAAAGTCAAGGATCCTGTAATGAAATATTAGCTGATTTATTAATTAACTTAATATTCTTATTTAATTTTTTATTAAGAAAATTAATTCATAAAGATAATTGATTAATTCTATGTGTTAATACTAAATTACCATTAAATAAATAAGCTAATAATAGTAAATGAGATTGTTTTTCAACAATAAGTCTATAAAATCCATTTTTATTATTAGATGTTCCTTGAGGGTAATATTTAACATGTCCTATACCTAATTTTTTATTTATAAAATATAAAACATTACTTTCTTTTTGAGTTAATACAAATTTTATTCTAGTATTATTACTATATGTTTGTATAGCTCCATTACCCTCAATAAATCCTATTAATCATATAAGTATATCATCAGGAATATTATTTAAATTATTATATAATAAATCATTATTTTTTTTTAATATATTAAAATAAGTATTAAATTTAGAGAAATTAAAAGATATTTCGCGTGTAGTCTCTGAGGCGCTTTGTATATATTTAAATATATAATAATATATATAAATAAGGGACAAATTGCCTGCTGATTGGATATAACTATATAGATTTTTACATTTCAATGTACTATATAGCTTTAAATCTTTCCAGCAAATAGCGAAATTAATTTTATTCTTTATATCACTATAAAGTGAAGCCATCAATACTAACTGCAACGCAGAAAGTATAGTATATCAACTTCAAACTAAGAAACCTAATAAACCAATACTTGCAATAGCATAAATCATACCTGTGTGACCAAAGATTTCTTTTTTACTATAAGTAGAAATTATATGAGAGATAATACCAAATCCTGGGATAATGATAATATAAACTTCTGGGTGCTATTAATTATATAATTTATATAAAATAAATATAATATATTTATGTGGACTATTTCTTTAATTGAGATTATAAATTATAACTCAATTATTTCGCATGTAGTCTCTGGGATTCCTACTCAGTTGGATTTATTATTAATGAAATAAATCATACAACCTTTGGTTATCTGCAAATTACTCTTTTAATTAATATTAATATATGATATAAAAAGTTATAAACATATAAAAAGATATATTAATAATATAATTAATAATAAAGATTATATAATAACGAATATATTATATAATAATTAATATATTTATAATAATTATTTATTATATATATAATTATATATATATATAGAGATTTTTGCATATAGCGAAATGATATAGATAAATTATCTATTTATACGGCCAACCATTAACCGAAGAATCAGAAAAGATGTTCGTACAGGATAGGGTCTCCACCTGCAGCTACTTCATAGAATCCAGTATTAAAGTTACGGTCCATTAATAATAATGTAACACCAGCTGTTAATACAGGTAATGATAATAATAATAATATAGCTGTAAAGAAGATAGCTCAAACGTATAATGGCATATCAATCATATGAACACCAATACTACGCATGTTTAAAGTAGTAACAATAAAGTTAATAGCACCTAATAAAGATGATATACTTGTTAAGTGTAAAGCAAATATAGCTAAATCAACTGAAGGACCTGAGTGTGCACTAATAGATGAAAGAGGAGGGTATACGGTTCACCCTGTACCAGCACCGGATTCAATTAAAACTGAACCAATGATACATACTAATGCAGGAGGTAAACATCAGAAACTAATGTTATTTAATCTAGCAAATGCCATATCTACTGCACCAATCATAATAGGTAAGAAGAAATTACCAAAAGCTCCAATTAATACAGGCATAACGAATAAGAAAATCATAGCTATAGCATGTCCAGTAACTAGAACGTTATAAACTTGACGGTTTTCGTGCATGAATTGATCACCTGGTCCAGATAATTCTAATCTAATAATAACAGACATAGCTGTAGCAACCATAGCACTAATCATACCATAGATAAGGTATAAAATACCAATATCTTTATGTGATGTACTAAATAATCATCGTGTTGTATATGACATATTAATATATGTTCTTATTTTATTTTATATATTTTATATTTTAACTAATATTCTTAAATTAAGAATATCCTAATATCTCACCTATAAATAAAGTAAAATATAAAGTCTAAAAGGTATTATTATATATATAATAAATAATATATTAATAATAAAATAAAGAGTAAAAGGTGACATGATTTGAAAAAGTTATAAATGATATTAATATTAATATATGGATACTCATAAATTATATATATATAAATATATATATATATAAGACTTATATTATAGAAAGGATAAATAAGTAGGGCATAAGCCGATCCTAGCTAGAAATAGTATA